TTGTCTCTAAGTGTAAAGCCACTCATCCACCTAATCATTCTCATCTCGGCAACACTTAATTTATTATTATGCTTCTCTTTTAAAGGCCAACATTCAGTGTCATAGAGCATTGCAGGTCTCACAACCGTCTTATAAAACTTTCCTTTCAATCTTAGCGGTACTTTTCTATCACATAAAAGGACCGAAGCATTCCTCCACTTCAACCAACTAACTTGAATTCTACTATTAACATCCACATCTATATCACCATTGCTTTGGACAGCGGACCAAAGATATCTAAATCGTTCACACCTTTTAATAATTTGATCACCCAAAGTCACACTTCTGTCACTAGAGCTATTACTACTAAAATTACATTTCATGTATTCAGTTTTAGTTCTACTTAAACGAAGGCCTTTAGACTCCAATGTAGACCTCCATAATTCAAGTTTTTCCTGGGCTTTTTCTCTCGTTTTATCCACGAGAAGAATATCATCAGCAAAAAGCATACACCAAGGTACATCCTCTTGTAGATGTCCAGTAAGACCATCCATAACTAAAGCAAAAAGATATGGGCTTAAAGTCGATCCCTGATGTAAACCAACAGAAATAGGAAAATATTTTGTCAATCCTCCTTCAGTTTGAACACAAGTAACAACTCTAGTATACATATCTTTAATGACTTCAATATAAGTCATATCAACACATTTCTTCTCGAGAACTCTCCAAAGGATATCTCTTGGAACCTTATCGTAAGCTTTTCTAAATCAATAAAAATCAAATGTAGATTCTCCTTATTATCTCTGAACTTCTCCAACAAACCTCTCAATAAATGTATAGCTTCCATAGTAGACCTGCCAGGCATAAATCCAAATTGATGGAGGGAAATTTCAGAGGGAGAGGAAGTTCGGGTGGATATGCAAGAGTCAGAAAACTGAGGATGTCGATCTTTGAAGGGGAGGGTGCATATCAATGGGTGTATCGTGTGGAAAATATTTTGCAATCAACGAGTTGACTGAGGAAGAAAAACCCATGACAATGGGATTACGCTTGGAGGGGAAGACTTTAGCGTGGTTCCAGTGGATGGAGGCCACGTATCCGATGCAATCATGAGAGTAGTTTAAAGATTGCTTGTTGGAGCGTTTCCGAGCCATTCGAGAAGGAGAACTACACGAACAATTCTATGCTCTGACTCATTTTTTTAAGAAAAATAATTTTTTATTTTCATCTTTAATACACTTTACTTGAGTTAAATCTTTACTTTTCTTTTCTCTTTGTTTGGCTAGTTTATACATATATTTTTCACTCTCCTTAGTATCTAATCTATTATAAAGATCATTAAAAGTAGAATTTTTAGCGTCACAGATTGTTCTTTTAGACTCCATGCGGGCCGTTTGATATTTTTCTCAGTTCTCTAAGCATTTACATATAAAACAATTTTTATAACATAACTTCTTATATTTTATCTTTTCTTGCACATTATTATTCCACCACCAACTATTTTTATTTGTAAATACTTTTTCTTTTGATTCTCCAAGCACATCTTTTAACATAAAATAATATTTTTTATTTGTAAAACATCTTGTATTTACATAACATCTTTTTATTTGTAAATACTTTTTCTTGCACATTATTATTCCACCACCAACTATTTTCATTTTAGATGACATAAGCAAAAAGAATATTAAATTAAAAGATAAAGTAATATGATAATAAAAACATCACAAATATTACTTAAATTCAAGAATTTAATACTTCAATTACTTAAAATTCAAAATATTATGATTTTTTTGCAAATCTAATATTTTCATAAGCAATTAGTCTCATCATCATAAGTCAAACAAATCTTATCTGCTTCACAAGCATCATTATAATCTCATAAAGCATAATGTTCATCAATCAAACGAAGCTCAAAATCATGCAAACAAAATAATGTGGACATTTTTGCCCCATATTTGTACATATGTATGTTTGTGTGTGTGTATTATGAAATGTACATACATACGACACAATTCTTATATAATTACATTTTCAACACCTAAAATTTAATATTTACATATATAAAACTATGTCATAATCAAATTAACACTTTTATGAACAAAGTATATTTGACTTAAAAAATAATTAGAATTAATATATTTGACGTGTTATATAGAAAAAATAATAAATTTTAGATGTTAGATATAAAAGCATATTAAAACTAAATAGTATGTGCGTAAATAATTTTTTTTTCATATTAAATCTAAATTACACCATTGCCCATGCTTAGTGCAAATAGCATGAGCAATTTTGCATCATTGGCGTGCATGATAAAGGCAATGACGCACTAGTAAAGACGTGAATTCACAAACTAGACCCTCTATGCAGGGAAAACAACTGACAAGATTTAGAGAATAATGTTTAAAATAAACTAGCGAAGAATATTTAGTAGTAATAATATGAAGAACCACAAAAAAACTATCCAGTCCTTTAGATATAGCAGACTTAGTAAGCAGGCAGAAAAGTAGCCATGATACAAGTGATAGGAAGAAAAAAACCTGCTGACCCCAGTGAGTTGAGTTGTCAACGCTAGGAGCAGTAGTCAGCTCAACTTCTTGTTCAACTGGATTCTGCTCGCTACCCTTTAAGAGAATTTATTCAGTCAGCGGGAAGAAATCAGTGTTATGTAAATAGAATAAAAGAAAGTTTCCAAAGAATCCATGCAGCATACCCGAAAATGAACATCAAACCAACCAGCAAATGCTGATAGCCTAGTCCGATCCACATTGATTGGCAGCACGAAATTTGCAGAAACATCGCGGATCTCATCAATTGTAGCTTTTAGACAATCAATTTCTTTAATGACCGCAGGGGTGCCTATTATTTGACTCGGATGAAGACTGTTCCACAGTGATGTCTGCAATTCAACGTAAGAACAACAAAGCATGAGTAATAGACTACAAGAGAGATTGTCAATTTCTCATACAAAACTAGCAAAAAATAATTAACACAGCTCATGAGAACATAGCAACCAAAATGTAATCGCTTAACAAAGTCAACGAGTCAAAGAAATGTATAAACAAAGTTTATTAAACCATGCTCATCGAACCTCACTGAACAGTGCCTGAAAAAGAGTCATGTGAAGATGACTACAAAGAGCAAGTATGAAAGAAAGACCAAATTTTATCATATGGAAGAAGGTTAAGGCACATGGAATACAATTACGGCTGTGAATTTGAATCAAAAAATAAAGAAAAATAAAAATTACCAAAAAATGGTATGAAACTTTGACTAGGTTTGATCACAGCTTCAAATCAAGAAAGTAAAGAGCCAAGGCTGGCACAAATCAAACTTGGATTGGGCTAAGCATGAATTAAATCAACCTAACTTGAGATCCAAAAGAAATAGAAGTGTGTGTGGGCGTGCACACGTGCAGGGGGCACATACATGTGTAAATTTATATCTTAATTTATGAATGTTCGTACTGCATTTATGAATTCATGCAATGTAGAACTGAGAATGGCGTGCATTATTCAAAAAAAATTGAATGAAAATGTGCTTTGGCTCAATTGAAACAAACAAGCTAGATCTAGCTCAAATTCAGATCAAATCAGCCAGCATACAGCAAGACGTGCTTTGGATTGAAATGGAACCAAATGAATTAGAATGAATTCTAAGCCATGTTCAAGTGACATCGATTTTTTTCACTGCATTAGTACCAGCAAAAAAATTCATCCAGACCTTCAGCTGAAAGTAAAAAACATGTTCTCAGCATTACTGTAAGTATTGGGTATATATAACATTCAAAGTATCCAATAACAAGAAAATAAAATATAGTTGAAAGAAAAATTTCTTCCCTTGAAAACTATACATTATTAGACATATACCCATGATTTATGATATGGTTCATCATGAAAAACCATAACACTGCGTTAAAACTTTACGGTACAGTTGCGAAAAGCGAGATAAGAAAGAAATTTGGCACCTTCAGATAGTATTTTTCATGCTCTTCACGATAAGCCTTGGTTAGGACATTCATGTCAACTCCATAGTTTACATCTATGTCATTAACAAAGCTATACCAGTCATTCATAGCAGTCTCATATTCATTCATCTTTTGATCCCCTAAACCAGATCTGACAGGTGCTACCCACATTCGAGCATGACTAGGATACCTACAAAAAGTAAAGGAAGAAAATAGTCTCTAATAGTGATCAACAACATTCTTAAGAGCTTGGTAAAAGAGAAAGTTAAGTTCAATAAAAATTTATCACCGAGTTCCTTCTAAGAAGTGAAAGATAGAACTAAATTCTTTTTTTAAGTGACAAATAGAAAAAAGCTCAATTAAACAATTGTATTAAATCATTTAAGGATCTCAGCAGTGTGTGCTTTATCTAGATCCACCTTATAATGCCTCAGAAGCTGGCTGGAAATTTCTAGGGACCAAGCTTTTCTCAACAATATGTGCTTTCACTAAACCCATTTGCAGCCATGCAATAACAATTAATTCAACTGACTGCAGACATGTAAATATAGAGAAAGAATGCATACTAACAGTTATAAATAATCATTGCTAGACTCTAGCTCATCAGAAATACTCAGTTAAGATTTGTTAAAGCTATAAAGGAGATCTGAACAATAGAAGGAGAAGGTCCTCTGTGCAATCGAAGTAAAGTAAAAAAATCAATAAATTATTCAACATGATGAAATCAATATACAATCACAATAACCTATTGTCAGGTACATGACTTCTCAAATTTTTTGATGTCACTACTAGCCAACCTGATGAAAATGATACATAAGAACCTATCACATATGAAGAAACAACCCGCTGCAAAAAATAATTGCAAAGTAAAGAGAGGGTGCAATAATGAAAAAAAATAAAGCATGAGAAATCATTTAGAGGACCAAAAATAAAAATTTAGTTGCATGCTAAAGGAATTATAAGATAAAGCATAAAGTTGGTCGGACTATAGAGAGATTCCAAGCTAAGCTTGTTGCTAATGGATAAACTCAACAACAAGGATTAGATCATGATTAGATGTTCAGCTTGAAAGTGAATATTGCTAAACTATGAATTATTTTATCACCCATTATTTCTCTTAACGAACTATTGACTTGACTTAATGTCAGAAATTCAACTCTTCAAAGAAAACACAAAGGATTTTACATAAGGGTTAAAAGATGGCTTCCATGAAGATAATCAAAGAAGATATGTCTACAACTTAAAAAAGTTAAAAAACTGATTAAAGCAAGCTTGTTTAACATGGATTTTAGTTTTCAAGAATCTATAGGTTGGATTTTAAAAAAACAACATCCAATGATTTTCTTTTCACTTTAAAACAACAGAAAATCATAAAATTTCGTGTTTAAGTTGATGACATTGTTGCTTCTGAAATTTGCAAAGCACTGATAAGTAGAACAAAAACTGTACAGCACAAAATCTAAACTCAATAATTTGAAACATTTGGGGTGCTTTCTTGTAATAGAATCTAATAAAGGTTAGCACAAGCAAACCAATGTTTAAAATTGTGCATTTAGGTACCAAAGCATTTTTCGTTCACGAGATGAAGCTTAAGCCTTAATACATTTTGAACCATAAGCCTCAAATTAAAATGGCATACATTTATAAATATTATATAAAATAAAAGTGTGAAGTAAAAAATAATATATAAATTTTCTAACTTGTTATCACATTAAAAAATAATATAAACATTCTACCTAAGAAAAAAATAATAAATTGCATAAAATCAAAAGTAACATGCTAATCTTCAACAACAAAAAATCAAATAAGATGGGTTATACAAAAGATGGGTTATACAAATATTAAACTATCAAAGTAAGCTAAAAAATTAAAATAAAATATAATATTAAACTATCAAAGTAAGCTAAAAAATTAAAAAAAAATATTAAAATATCAAAATATAACAATTAAAATAAGTTCAACATCATAACTCTTTCTCTCTCTCCTACAATCCTTCACTTCAAGAAGAAAATAACAAGTCATCAATATTTGAATTTTTAAATTTAAGTCTCTATTATTATCATCGACCAACTAATTTTCATTAGAATCATCTTCATAAAGAATTATTTATCTCATGTCTCATCCTTGATCATATATACAACCTCTCATTCCTCATAATCCCTAATCCCAGTATCTTCTACTTCTTAATGAATAATCATTAATAATCATACCAATTAAAATAATTATTATAATGATAATTAGAACTTTAACTACATAATTGTTAATGACCACATTTTCCTTTTATTTCTTGTTATTTAATATGTGAGGTGTAAGGGGTAATAAGTGAGGCATATTGATAATATTTTCAGGTTTGCTAAAAAAAATTATGTATAATCACAAAATTTTAAGGAATTTTTTTAGGCAAGGCGCAACTCAGTCTAGGTAGGCCTTATCCTAGGATAATGAGGTGTAATCCTTATTGCAATTTTTTCTAAAAATGTTGAGGCAGACCTCAAGGCTTGTCTCATATTACACAAGCATATATAATGCAACAAACTATACTTTATCAAAATGCAGGATTGCAAACCTTCACCTACAACAACTATCTACAATCAAAAGGAAATATCTAATGATGCAAAACAAATAAATAACCCAGACATTTATTTGAGTACTGTGGGAGCCTTAAAATAGCTCACCATTCCCATATCTGACATTTCCTCTGTATAAATCAAGCCTCACAATTTATGCATGAGCGAATAGATTTCCACATGCAATCCCTTAAGAGAATCATGTGAAATGTTAAAAAAAACAGTAATTTATGATAACGAGCTCCCTAAGAATGATAGTGACACCATTTACTAGACAGTAAGGTATTCCAATTCATACTACGAAAACATCTAGACAACAGAAGGTGTATTATACCCTACAGCATCTTCCTTGAAAAGAACCTACTATCTTGGAAAAGAAGCAAACAAAAATTATTACAATTGCTTAGGTTGAATATAGAGTGGTGGCTTCAATAATTGCAAAAACTACCTATATTAGATAAATTCTACACCTAATTCAAATATAGAGTGATGACTTTAACAACTTTTAAACCCTAAACCCTAATAAAAAATTTTAAGAAGATACGAGAATCATGCCATTCATGTCCTAAACCATGCAGCCATATGCATAAGCCATGAAAAACCATGATATACGAAAACAAAATTCCCGTGTAAGACAAATTAGCTTAAACTATCCAAGTGAATACATTGCAAGGCACGGAAACTTACATCACTCCAGATGGCTTTAGCCACCTATCTCGCGCGCATATCACGGAATCGAACATCGACTCTCTTAAAAGAAAATAACCCATCCACTCTGATATTATAACATCAACTGAAAACAAAACATAAGTAAAAGAAAACGTTTCAACAAAATTAAGATTCAATAACAACAATAAGTCAATACGAAAAGAGCCTAAAACCTAACCTTTCTCCGGCAAATTAACCTCCTCCATAGATCCCTCAATCACATGAACAATATCCTCCACGTTATTGGCATGAACAAGAGCCTTAGCATGCTCAGCCATCTTCGTAGCTTCAACAGCATAAACCTTTCTGGCACCAGCTTGTGCGCTCCATATCGCAAGAATCCCGCTTCCCGTGCCCACGTCCAGCACAACCTTTCCATAGATGGTTTAGGGTTAGTGCAAGTGCACAGTTACTTCATGTGTTTCATTTCCATTAAAATAAGCCCTCGTAAAGGAGAAGGAAAGGGGAAAAACCTTTCCGGCGAAGTGGTGCTTATTGTTGAAGATGGCATTATAGTATGAGTCCATGCGGACCCGATCAGAGAGCATCTCCTTTTGGTGGTAGATAAAAGCATAGGTACAAAAGTAGTTGGCGAAGTCGACACTTTTGTCAACGGAGCCGTTTATCGCCGGAACCCCATTACTCGCCGGTGAGGCCATGGGGTTTTTTCTCCTCGCTGTCTGTGCCTGCGCGCTAGGGCGTCCAGCTGACTCAAGCGGGAATTAAAAAGGGAATTTTGATTTTATATGTACCCGAAATTAGAGAAATTATTTGCAATTTTTTCTTGAGTACATCTAATATATATGTATATATGTATATATATATACACACACAATAGCTATAACATAATAAAATAATTTTTAAAATATATAAATGAATAGACATAATATTAATTGTAATTCAATTATGCAATTCCAAAAATAAAAACACCATCCATAATATTGATAAGGGCATAGAATTTTCTATAAAAACTCTTACCAGTGATATAGAGAAATATACAATATAATTTTGAAGTTGGGTGAGAAGTTCAAGTATACTCTGTGGGAGAAATGGAGTCAATCCCTAAATTAGGTCAAATTTGATGAAGCAAAATGATGTAGTTCTTTGACATTTCTTGATGCCAAGAAAATCAAAGTAATAGGTTAAGGCCTTCCTCTAGATGATATTTAGAGGTTTTTATGAATTTCTAATTAGTTTATGATAAGTAAAAGTGCACTAAAATCAAATTGGTTGGGTTGAAATCCTAACCACGTCAAACCCTTTTAACAAAGCTAACGATTTTGTTGCATGAGTTTAATTCTTAATCTAAATGTTGAAAAGTATAGTTTTGATAGAGGAATAAGTTAGAATGGGTTTAAAGGTAAGAAGAGAGGGAAGAGGAAGGGGAGGGTCCGTCCACTAAAATCAAATTGGTTGGGTTGAAATCCTAACCAGGTCATACCCTTTTAACAAAGCTAACGATTTGGTTGCATGAATTTATTTCTTAACCTAAATGTTGAAAACTATAGTTTTGACAGAGGAATAAGTTAGAATGGGTTTAAAGGTAAAAAGAGAGGGAAGAGGAAGGGGAGGGTTCGTCCATTGAAGTAATTACAATAAACACTTTTTCACTTAATTTGGATAGCCACTCACTGTTACTAAAACACTCTAGACATAAAACTTTCACTTATGACAACATATAAATGTTATAAAATAATTCAATAATATATAATACATAAGCTGCATAACTCATAATAACAATTTCGCATATACAAAATAAGAGCACTAGACATTTATTTTTTTTTCATTTTTCTCCTAGTCATGGGATCTTGATTAATATTCATTTTTAGCTTAAGCTCTAGTGATTGATCCATTTTTTCTTGTATTGCAAAATGTATTCCTTAGTCCACATCAAATTTAATAGATTTAAATTCACAATAATGTAAAATTGATTGACAAAATAATAAATATACCAAATAGAACTAAGATGTGCATCAAAATGATAAATGGACCTCTATAATTATGATAATGTCAAATAAATCTACATAAAATTTATCCCTTAAGAGCTATATTTGGTTAAGAATGGCCTCTAAAAAAGTTGTTTTTTTTTAATTTTAGATATGATGAGATGCAATAAATACACTCCATAGTCTCTATAACAAATAATGTGTAAAGTAAATAGTAGAGTACACGTGCCCCAAAACTACATTTTATTTAAATGTTAAAAATGAATAACTTTACTATAAAAGCGATAATTATATATGCAGTGGTCATTCTCCACTTCTGAAAAAATATTTAGAGGAGAGAAGTTTGCCATGATTTTTGAATAACCAAAACTATTGAAACAACCTAAGGAAGCAACAAAAAAATAAATTTATTGGTGCTTCCAAAATTCTGCGATGAAGTACAAAAAAAGAGAGTTATATAATGTTGAGAATATTGGAGAAAGTGATGTCACGTGTAATTTAGTAAAATTTATTAAATTTTATTGGATAATAAATGAGTTTTGTGTCAAACCATGACTTTAGGAACTTCTCTTCAATGATGTGCATGATGGCCTCATTAAGCCACTTTAAGTAGTAATTTTTCATGAGTTTCATGAAAGTGGATTATTGCTCTACAGTATTGATCAAATGATTTTTCCAACATAACGATGTCAAGTCCATAAATCTGCAAGTATCACCAAATTTTCCCCCTTATTAAGAAACATAAAGAATCATGTGTTGCAAAATAGAAATAAAGTTAGCATAAAAAACATTCAAGAACACATACCTTCAATGAATTAAATTATTTCTATTGTAATATTTCACAAATTATCTAGCATAGTATACTACAAAAAGACCATCTATAAGCCCATGCTATAATATTCTTGTCACCATCGAATAGTTCTCCCATAACTTACCACTTTTGCTCATCTTTTAAACTTCCTTATCTAAGAATTCTCTAAATTATAACCTAGTAATCAAGACATATTTAACAATGCCAAATGAAGTGATCTTCCCTCTAATGTCTCACACAATTATCATCGTCTTCATCAACCATTCTTAATAATAGCTTATGAATTAGTGCCTAAAATACCTATATTTCAAGAGCTCTAAAATGTTATCGAAGGGTGATCTCTCTAACTTCTTAATGAGGTTATTAACTTCAAATTATCAAACTACTTTTCCCATCACACCTCTAACTTTTATGAGAATCAAATATTGTAAAGTTTTGTTTTTTGCTATATATATATATATATATATAT